TTCCCAGTTAAGAGCCCAAGAGGGGCAGTAGCCATATAGCTGTCGTGTGGCGTACTTATCACACAGCACATTGTAGCACATCACAGAGAACAGTGCTGAGGGCAGAAACAGAAAAAGAACATGGTTTAAAAAGGTTTGGGATTGAGACATTTCCACACTTGTTCAACAGCAAGCAACCCAACCACAATACCAGTGAAATAGCAGGATTCACGATACTAATTCAATACCACCATTAAAATCAAATGAATCTCTTTAACAAACACTCTTTTAATATCCATTTGAGTTGCTGTGAAACGAAATGACATCGACTTGGTACCAAAGTCTTGGTTTTTGTGACATCCCTAGTTTCATGTGTTTGGTCTTTACCTGAGTCCCGTGTCCTGTCGGGTTCCTGGATTGAGATCCATGACCGGGCTGGGGGCTGCTCTGTTGGTACTGAGCAAAGAACAACAAATATTTAATATTTATGACCAGGTGGAAAATGAATGCAAAGAAGCTAAGGGGCACATTAAGCTGTCAGGTTCACAATGACCCCATTTTTAACTACTAATGTACCTATATTTTCGGTATATAGAAACAACTGGCAATATGTAAATCCTGTCGGGTCTCAAAACGTTCAGACAGAGGGGTACTTACTGCGCTTGATAGCCCCTGCCAGATTGTCTAACAGGTAGTTGAGCAGTCTCCGCGTGCCATCGGGTTCCTGGTAGAGGCTCATAATTTCTTGTGCAAGTGGGTTTCCTGGTGAAGGAAAAGCAAATCAGTCTGAATCGTCGCCAACACAACAAAGACATTTCAAGGGTAGAATGGCTACAAAATAACCTCGGTGAGCCACTCACCTTTCAACCCCAGTGTTTGTAACTGAAACAGTTTCCCCAATTCAAATGGCAGAACCCGCAACTGGTTGTTATTTAAAAGCAGTTCCCTGTGGAGGACATAGGGGAATTTGATCATTAGAAATCAAACCTCCTGAGAAACAACCAACTTTATTTCTGTTCAAATACAGTTGCCCAAAAACATTTGCCTGTTTAACTTCAGATTCATTGTTCATTTGAAATGTATATGGAACAATATGGGCAGATATTCAATGGATCTACAATAAATACTTTTTTTTTTTAAAAATCACTTTGCCATAATGGAAATAACTAGTCTTCCTTTCTATTGTGCCTAAATTAGGGGGTACATGTTTAGCTGTGAATAACTAACCTGAGAGACACCATGTTGCCGAGCTCGGCCGGCAGGCTCCTGATCTTATTGGATGAGAGATCCAGGTACACCAGGTTTTGTAGTTTGGCAATGTCTGGCGGGATGCGTGACAATGAGTTGTCACTGATGTGCAGGGCAGTGAGATGGGTGAGAGTCCACAGGGATGTGCTGAGACTCCTTACTCGGCCTGTGAGACAGGGGGAAAAATGCACACACACAGGAGGATTAAAGCCAAGTATCAAACTACTGTATGACCCCTCTCCTTGCAATGAACAGGGTTGATTGATTTCACAATTATTAGATGATGCTCAAGCATAATTATAGGGCTGCATACATTTCCCAATTAAAATAAATAGTTAAAACTCACGAATTACCAAGAAATAACACTGATAATGGATGAATCATTAAATTCATTTTTGATGGAATATGCCCACAATTCACTGGTCCTAGCCTCGGTTCTTGTTAAAATGCTGTATAATGATGAGCTTTGGCAAGAAATCTGAAGATGTCACCTTTGGCCCTGTGAAACTCTGATGAACATTTAATGATATTTTCTGACATGTTATGGGCAAACTGCTTAATCAAGAGAGTAAAGGATAAAAAGTCATCCTTAGTTGCAGCTCTTCAAATGACCTATGTACCGAGCTACCCACTTCATATTTAAAAAGTGACAATCCAGTAATAGGACTTTTTGAATGTAGGAAAACTGCCTACTGTGCGTAATCTATATGCACAAATAAAGAGATATGTCTGACTGGTATGAATTAAAGACAATTATCAACAAAGCTAGGAGTTCTACGATAATACTCACCGCTGATTTCCAGCTCAGCCCAGTATGACTTCTTCCCGTTTGTTGCTTCCTCAGTGGACATGATTGTGTACATCCGCCTGGGATCCGGCGGGTCATATTTTTCCTTGGGCATTCCTATAACACTAGATACATATTTGTGCTTTTAAAAAATGTGCATGGAAATAGTCAAAATTATCCAATGGTGGCCTCTTTGTAAATCAATTAAGTAATTGTGTCCTCAGACTAAAGCTATTAATAAGGTTAACGGTGGTTTAGTTCAGTTAACCGTGTTTGCTTGAGCCTTTGACCAAAATACCTCATGCACACATGTTAGCACTTTTTAAATGTTGCCATAATAATCAAACACAAACACGTTTGTTCGAGATATGGTTGAATAAAAACAGTAATGTAACTGCCTGGAGTACTATAATCAAACTGACAACCAACACTAAATTGCTTCTTATGAGGCTGTGATTTCATTACTTACGTTAACGTTACATAATAAACATTAAACCAGCAACGTAGCAAGATAGCAAACTACTTAACTGTGTTAACAATAAACGACAAAGAATTCCTTCGTTAAAAGAGCTCAACTTAAAAGCCATATTCCAAAACAGTAAACATGTTAGGACAAACTACGATTGGTAGATGTTTCCTCTCGGTGGTCGCTAACTGATTAGCTTAGCTTAACCTAAATAGGTAACGTTGGCTATCAAACTATACATAACAGACGCTAACGTTAAAATAGCTAGAAGCTAGCTCGCTTGCTAATTACCAAAGATTGCAAACGGACAATCGGAATTGGGTAAATTGACCAATCAATTAACTGATTGTAATGCTTTGTCCGAATGGGTAAGCTAAAAAGAAGCTAAATGACATAAAACTATACTGCACAAATATTGTTTACATAATAGCAAAGCACTGACTTGCGCATTGTAACTAGGCCACGAAATAGCGCATTAGTTAGCTGCCGCTAGCTAGCCTCCAGTAGCAAGAATCACTATTGAGATTGAGATAAACTGTGTGCTAACAAGCTCACGACGCTACACAACGCTGGGGTTGCAAGCAATTGTGAGCTATTTAGCTTAGCTTGAGTTAGCTGGTTAGCTATAAGCTAACAGATCTCAATTATTCGAAGCTGACCGACTTCCCATTTAAACTAGTCTTTACTTCGGAAAACCACAAACACGCTTCGAACATCTACATAACATGTGGGTGAAATTAGTGAAAACAATTTAGGTCCAACAGGAAGAATTGCCTTTTTACCTGCAAGAGCATACCAAATAGCGAGGACCACTGCGTGTTCTCTTTTGTTTTCTAGCTACTTCGCACCCGTTTCCGCTGCTGTATCATGGCGACTGAAGGATTTTTTTTCTCTGCCGATAACAGCGCGTGATCCTATTGGTCGGCGCGTAGACGGCCCAACCAGCTGTTGAACCAGAGTAAATACAATCTTTGGTGATGAGTGATCGATCATAAAATGGATGGAAATAGTAGCAGTTTAATTTATCATAGCGTGTTTACACATTTTGAATACTTAGCAGAGTTCAAGTACATGTAGTGGAATCAATAATGTGTACTGCATTTGTATGACAAGATAAAGTGAAGATTGTGGTTGATGAGAAGCAGATATAGGTCTTTACTGGCTCGAAAATTATGGTAATTTATTAAGAGATGACAGTAGTCAATATAGTTTAATTGCATTAGACCAGACAGGGCTCGCCTTTTATTCAGATTCCAAAAACTGAACAATTGAATTCAAACCAATAAATGTAAAAAATAAATAAATAATAACTACATTTGTTCAACACTGAAATACATCTAATGGGTCATCCTGTAGATAAGTGAGCAACTCTTCAACATGGAAAGGTAAGGTTTGGCCGAGGTCAGCCTGCGATCTGAAACGGAAGGCCTCCATGGCATCACAAATGGCAGGCTTTGATACCATATCATCTGGTCTGTAGACCTAATGCTTTATAGTTCGTCCAACAAACAGTTTTTAATTCAACACTGACAGACATCTAGCAGGTGATCCTGTAGATAAGTGAGGGACTCTTCAACATGGAGAGGTAAGGTTTGGCCGAGGTCAGCCTGCGATCTGGAACGGAAGGCCTGCATGGCATCACAAATGGCGGGCTTTGATACCATATCATCTGGTCTGTAGACCAAGTTGCCAACCCTGCCTCTTTGTTCAGAGATAGAGTTGCTCAGATAGCCTGGGTATAACAGATACAACTGTTAGTAGAAAATCAAAGTTTGCTTGGAAGTGTCAAGTGAAGTTATTTACATTTTTACTACTAAATTGTTGGAATGTTTTAATAGTCAGAATTATGGTACACTGTATTAAGGGGCATCAGAGTGTAACATTCTTTATCAGATTTGTATTATAACCCATGTCTCAGAAGCATTCTTCTGCACAAATCATTTACGCTGACATCAGTGGTTAAAACACTTTCACAACTATACTTTAAATATAATGAAAATACAAAAAAATGTATACAGTGGGGAAGAAAAATCAAGGACCAAGCTCAGGAAATATGTACAAAGTTCACCAAAAACTTATTTGGTCAAATTTGGCATAACATGACCCAAAAAAAAGTGTATTCAATACAGAGAATCCAAAATAGTTATTTAAGCAATCATACACGAGAGGCCGTTCTTTAACGTCATTATTGGTACGACAGTACTGCGGCAGGACCGAGGCGCTTGCGCCGAGGTCCGTACGCCTGTACTGGAGATTGCGATTCTATAACACAAACTATCATTGTAATCAACAATATCGTAAAATAATTTCATAATGTGGGCTAATTTGCTCCCAAACCTTCACTTTCTGCTTGAGTTCATCTCCGTCAGAAAGTAGTTCCTATAAAGTAGTTCCCTTGGTAACGAGAGCCGATCAATCGAACACTCCTGCTTCCCCGCTTACAGTTATTGATATAATTATAGTAAATAATATATTATTAACCAATTTATTGAAAACAATTTATTGACAACAATTCTTGAATTAGGCTATTTATTTATTTATTTACATATTTAACATTTTGGCTTCAGAATGAAGGTGGATGTTCATGCTGCCATTAAACGTGCAATTTTTGAAACAACTCATGAACTCCATGCCAGACTTTTTTGCAGTTGGTACTGTGGTGTTCACGGAAGAGCTTTCCTCTAGTGGCCGTTTGGCGTGTCCCGGACTGGCAAAAAGCTAGTTGCTCCACATTTTTCTGTTGTCCAGATGATAACTATAAAATCTGACATTTTGTAGCTAACGATTTTCCAACAAGAGACAATGTAACGGCTGTGTGTCGCTATGGAAACCACTACTTCTCCGCTGCTTTCTTGTTCCAGTTTGCAGTTAGCTTTTGAATTGTGGTACTTTTCCAGTTGGTCTACCTGCTCTTCACGTAGCTCTGCATGTTGTCGTTTAGGTGCTTTTTTTTCTAGGCACTCCTCAATCCAGTCCTCCACAGTAAGACCCCCCCGGAGGTTGAAGTTAATCTTAAATGTTTCCATATTATGTTTGGAAGTTTGTTTCGTAACGTAAAAAGGAGTGTTTCTGCCCCGTTACTTCTCCGCTGCTTTCTTGTTCCAGTTCGAAAAGCAAACTGCAAGCAGTTTGCTTTTCAGGCCAAGGGTATACCGTTTTTCTCAGACGCGGAGGGATACTGACTTGTTGTGAAAAGGCACGTTCTATTTGACCGTTCTTTGATCGTGGAATCAAACACGCCTATTGACCAATCAGAGAGCTTGCTCACACCTATGTGTTATAGAATATAGATTAAAAAACACACAAATGTGGTACTGCTACACATTTTTGCATATTCACTGCAGTCTGAGGTTTCCCACAGGATCCAAGCACTGTCTGCTTCCTTGCAGTAGAACACTGGAAAGCTAACTTCAGACAACTAGCATTGTCACTACAAACATATATGTTCTCCTTCATTTCACAGACTTTACAGGGAGAAATGTCATGATTATAGCTGCAAACGTTGTTATGAGATGTACTGGAATTGACCAACTTCTCACCTTTCATTGCTTTGTTGTAGCTGAGCAGCAACATCCAGACAAGATGTACCAACTCTTCCCACCTCTGCCACCTTTCAGTACCATCCTGGAGAACAGTCATGGACAGCCAGTTACGATGTTGTATCAAACTCTTAATTTTCAGATTCCCCAAAATAACATAAAATATGCGTTCTAAATCGCTACTGGGGATATGACATGTACCTAAGATGTTTTCACTGTCTTTACATTTCAATTCAGCAATCTTTTATTGTTAAGGAGATGTGTTAATACCCTCACATCTGTGTATAGCAAAGGGTGGAGGTTAAGCTTAGATTAAAACAAGATGCAAGAGTGATATTCACCGAAGGGTCTGGTGCCAGAGTGCAGTGTTTCAAAAAGTGAAGCAGAAGACTGAGCGACATGGGAAGAGTGATTTTCAGTGGGCATGAATAGTCCAACAGTTGTTCCAACAGCTTACATCTCAGCAGCTTGCTCTGCAGGCTCTTCAGCAACAACATCCTGGTCGTCAGAAACAGATAAATCAGAGATGGCTTGGAAAAGTAGGTAAAAGAGACGCATAGTGCCATTAGAATCATTTCAATTTGTACTCTATTTGACCATTAATCACTCAATGGATTCATTGAAAGACTATCCATGGAAGTCTGAAATACGTTCACATTCAAACAATGCAATTAAAATGTTTAAACTGTATAGAAATTATTATTATTACAAGAAAGAAAATCCTGTGTCATGTTATGATATAGACTTCAAAATGTATATCTGTTTCATTCTCACTTATATTTATTGTTAAGCATCTTTTCAATTTAAATGAACTAAAACATAGAAAATCCATGTTCAACAGAGGAAATCCATTTTGCATAATTAATCAATTTACAGCATTTATGAACAGTTTGAGTCCATTTACATCATTAGATTTATGAATCATCAGACAGTGACATTGATTCCACTCATTTGTTATTTTTACTTTTCAGGATATTTTACAAATTGTTATATCTTTTTTGATTAAAAGCCATATCAATACACTATAAATCATTTACTGGATGTACAAATTAAATAACAAATACCATTTGACACCTTCATAAGTCTACAATAATTCCAGTACAGGAAAAGGTAGTTGAAAGCCAATACTTTCTCCCTCTCAACTTTCCCTTAATCGTGATACAAAACATCCCATCTGTCCTCCTCACCTGTGTGCTCGTAGAGGTGTATTGCTGATGAGTATGTGGAAGAGCTCCTGGGACAGCTTGGCAGAGGTTAGAGCTGGAGAGCGGTCCACCTCCAGAGCCAAGGTCAACATCCTCTGGAAGGTCGACACCATTCTGAACGGGACAAAGGGACCAAAACTTGATAACTTGAAAAACATAGAAGCAGCCATAATGGTACATCCATGCGGAAGACAATGTAATCAAAAAATATATTTCAAAATGTGTATATTACCGGGTTTGTTCATCCCTCTCTCTGGCTGCTTCTCTACTGTCTCCAGGCTCTGTTGATTCCCTAATGGCAGCAAAGAGCCACTTGATGATCTCCCTAGAAATAACAAGAATGCATGTCTTTATAAACTACAATGTTATTGTGCTGACAAATTGGTTTTGTAATATTTCATTGTATATTTCAAAATGTGGACTGTAACAAAAAGTGAGTTTTGGTAGTTCTGTTTAAATTAACAGGCTTCTCGAATTGTAATGCTGATTTTGCAATCTGTAATTTAACCTGAAATAACAAAGAATATCAAATCTGTCAAGGGACTGCTTGGGTGTTAACTCTTGTAAGGCAGCTATAAGTTTAGTTTACAACAAAAGAGGTGAGGTTTAGGCCAAACAACCACTAACACGTAGCTATTTAGTAGTGTATTTAATAGCAGATGCCACTGTTAAGCCATATGTGATCACTGTTACAAGACAAACGATAATTCAAGGGCATCATAAAACTACAGCTTCCTCAGTTTCAACAGAAAACAGTATGCACCTGACGTGTGGGAACTGCTCATCGCATGACAACGTTGTCTTGGCGATGGAGTGGTGGAGGGCAGAGATAGAGCGTTTGGCCTGAAAGTCATCTTCCAAAGTCTGCACAACATAATCCAGGAGCATACGCACAACCTCCCTCCGATGCTTCTTTATACAGTCCTTAGGAATTTAGAAGCGCAGAAAGGGACAATATCAGTTCACAGAAAACACAGACAAGCTGCGATATGTCTGTTTACTTCTGGAACAGTGAATATGAATATGTTTCCCTAATGATGTCATCAACAATGCAACAGTACTTTGGCAATTTGTTTTTGTGCTTCTTAAAATACATTGACACAAAAGTTGTTTTAAACCCACTTCTCACGTTACAACCAAATCTCGTTTAACATAGTCTTGTTAAACAACACCAGTAGAAAAGTGTAATATATCAACCAGCTTTTCTGTTTATTCACAAATATTGCTATCTGGTTTAGTACCTGATTGGCCATGACTGAGGTCAACAACTCCCAGTCCCATGGAGCTGAAGTTGTATCAGCCATGTGGTGTCTGCAATCAGAAAGCAGCTTTAATTTCTGAAGTCAAAGATGGAACCAGAAAGACAAAATGAAAGAGAGGACGTAAAGGATAGATCAAAAATTTAAATACGAAAGGCAACAAATAAAACCATATTATTAACTCTTATTCCCCTGGTTCCCTCACCTCTGTGTCCTCATCAGCAGCTTAAATGCCTGCACGCAGTGGTGATAAGGACACTGGTGGTCGAGCAGAACGCCACGCAGCAGGTGGGAGGTGATATCCTTGGGGGGATAGTAACCAGGCTGCAGCAGGTTAGATAAGTGCTGCAAAGTGCCTTCTGTGAGCTTTTCTTCAATGGTAGTGTAAACCACACCCAGGCTCTGGCGGCATAGCACCTCAGGAGCTCCAAAACCTTCATCTTCCTCATCAGGCTAAAAATAAAAACATAATAAGAAGAATAGTCAATCTTATATAATTAGCCTATATAATCAAGTGTCAAATGTTTAAATATTTGGAAAACGGTCTCTTACCAGGGCTTGAGCATGTCCAAACATTTTTTTCCTGAGGTCAATTGGGCACACAAAGTGCCTGTCCTCTCTACTGGCTGCCCTAAAGTCCAAACCAAACCTGCTCTCTTTGTCAACTTCGTCTCCGTCACTCCCCTCTTGCCAAATAAAAGGCCCTGGGCTGCGATAGTCTCCGTATGTCCCGGTCCCAGATGTGTCATCTATGTCCTCATTTGCCACTGAAATAAAAGGTTCATCATGGATGCCATGGAGCAAGACGTCAGAGCGGTTTGAGGCGTCATCAGCCTTAACATCCTCCGATTGCCCTTCAGATATAGTTCCAGCTGGTGTATTCTCAGAGATTGTTGCTGGGTTGATGTGCCTCATAAGGTTATGAGATATGGGACTTGTGTGGGATGGAGAGTCACAGACAACATTCTCAGAAGGGTTTGGTCCAGTGGGAGGAGAGCTGGGGAACGAGGGATCAGCGAGAAAGCTGTGCATAGATTCAGCTTTGTCCAATTCCATTTGTTTTAGTTTAGAGCACAGTACTTCTCGTTGTTGTGAATGTTCTGCTTTATCTGGAGATAAAGAAGGGGATGTTGGAAAGGAGATCATTATGAATGAGCTTAAGTCATCCCTTTTGCCTTCATGAGTGCTGTGCTCCTTGGAGGTCTCAACAGAGCACCCTTTATCTGAGCAGGGAGGGTCAGCTGGGCCCTCTAGATGCTGAGATATTTCAGCATTTAACTGTGTGCATGTAAACTCTTTGCTGTTTTCGTTGTCCTCCTGTCTGATAAGAGATTCACCCACCTTAGAAGGAGACTCAGCCAGTGAGGAATCCATGTGAGGACCATTTAAAGTGGTAGATAAATTACTACTATTACTATTGCATTCTGGGGTTTCAACGTTGATGTCTTGTTGACCACGGTGCAGGGTCATTTGTGTACAATCTTTGTTTAACAATACAGAACACTTTAATGTTTTCAGATCTGCAACATGACTTTCAAGAACAGCCAATCGTCTTAATTTGACAAATGCTTTGCTATAATGGGCTATTTGAAGTTGTGTTTGAGAATCCGAACATCTCTTCTTTGGCTTTACATGTCCACAGTCCTGCTGCAGTACTTTAACGGTTGGGTATCTTGAAGACCTCGTCCGTAGGTTTAAATTGTGTTTGTTTGGTATTTTTGTTTCAGAGTTATCCGGTGAGAAATTATTCAATGCTGGTTTTGTCCGGTTAACTACATTGGTCTCGGGCAATTCTAGTATTTTGCGCGACTTCAGCTCTGGAAAAGTCCATCTAGGATTTGAGAGGTCAATGTAAAGCTAGAAAAGGGAAAAGTAAACAGAAACGATATGTCAAATTAATGATGTGGATAATTACATAATTACAAAGGAGAATGTAATGGCTTTTGGTACGTTACGCAAAATGAAGTAGCTGCAGCTCCTTCGACATATCCAAGACTTTAACAGTCAGTTAGCAACCGTTTCTACAGAAACGCTCGAGCAGCTAGCATGTTAGCTCACCGTTGGGATGTTGACTTTCACAGTATCGACGTCCACCCTCACCGCGGAGAGGGGCAGCGTGTCATCCCGCTTCACAACGTTACTGATGCAGCCGATGAATTCCACATCAGAGTCCTCTGTATCACTGTCAGAGCTGATAGTGATCGGGTCGTCCATTTTCCTCACTCCTTCAAACTCTTTCGAGGCAAACTCCAGAAGCTAAAGTTGAGTAAGCTCACAAAGGCAGACCCATGAAAGTCGCCACATTAGTGAAGAAGGAAGAGCTGACTTTGTTACGCCACACCTCATCATGTTTTGTAGAAGAAAAGTAATGAAGGGGTACTAAGTCGACCTTCGGACTTCTGGCAGTTCTTAGTTCCTCTCTTCCTTGTCGGTAGTTTTGAATCTCATCCCTTCTTAATTCACGTGAAGTGCCACATATTATCTCACATTGTTGAGCTTAAAACCAAGCCACGTCCGAAAAACAATTTCCAATGGCGAGACTTTCACATAGTTGATTTAATTGTATAACTGGCACGACTGAAAACGTTCTCATTACACATCCATGCTGAAAACATCTGAAAAACGGACACTTCCTGGTTGTTTGTTGTGCTTTTCTTTTTCTGTAGTATGTCAGATCACAACTAGCTGCACAGCATCAAATATCTCCACCTACTGTTCTGGAGTGTAAGGGCTCAACCTGCACATAATATCCACCATGGCAGTCCTTTAACTGTCCTAGAATGTAAAACATTTTACTATTATCTATTTAATTTCAATAATAATAATCAAAGCGACTTACATACATTCAAAACTAAATCATAATAGTATATGCTAACCAATACTTTAGGACTGTTTCATTGATTGTCGAATTGATTAATAATTTTTAATGGATTAATAATCTCGTTCTTTTATTTGCACATACACAAAAAAAGCCTAGATATAGCAACAAATAAAATGGCTCTCCACAAAACATTTATTTATTATTTGTTTGTTATTTGACTAATTAATTACAGCAACAATAAAAATGTGTCACTAATTTGAAGAGGACAACTAAACAAAATAAATGTTGGTGTGTTTGCATCATATACAGTCTATGGTTTGCACCTTAGTTGCTTTAGTTATTGAAGGAAAATTAAATGTCACACTAACCAGATTAAGTCACTGCATTGACGTGCTTAATATTGGCCATAGGTCTACATTTGCTGTAATAAATGGTCAAATGAGAAACAGTAAATCTCCCCCATGTACATTGAATTGTGTGACAATGTGTAGTTTCAACAATCTCCACTGGAGTGCACTCATGTTATTCAGGATAATTTGAAATATGTCAAATGTGTCCATAAAGCCTACACAAGTTTGGTAGCAATCAAACATCTGCATTCATCACAGAAGTCCTCTAAAGTAGACTGTGGACAGAACTATTCAAATGCATTTGTATTTGTTCTTGTTTGTACAGGGGCTCTGTTACCCCTGCCCTTTTCCTCTTATTTCTCTGATCCATGTGGATGCATTTCATTGCTGGACAGTGTCTTAAAATCCCTCGTGTCATAATGATATAAACACAGTATCAGGGTTGAGTAGGCTGCAGGGAGCAGATAATGCATTTCCGTATGTGTATGACTTCCGCAAATGACACATTACATGTTTATTTCAGCGTACTTTCCTGTTATAAGCATTTCGACTGTTTTGTGGAGCATGGCATCACTAAAAGCTAAAAGCTGCTTCCTTTTGATGGGGAGCAGTGACACATTCACTTACTGTGTTGAGTTGATAAGAACACTGCTTTTGTGACAAGCACATAAAGCTGCGTAAAATGTACCCACTAAACTTTTGTCAGTTTACAACTTTGTTTATCATATCAGTGCGTTTTAGAAAGTATCATTTCTCTTTCTGCTTTTTGGAAATACACGTGTTGTGCCAGCAGGGATTCCAGGAAAAGAGAAAATGTTATTCCGTAACTTGCCCTTGTTTTTCAAAAGAAATAAAATGTGTTTACTCCTTTCTCATGCAATTAAACTCAGATGCCCCAACCAGTGAACCTTGTGAGGAATATCATGCAGGATGAGTCATCATAGTCAGACGGTACACAAACTCTTGACACCATTCAGCATGGTGAATACTTGATTAGGGTGGCCAATGAGACAAAGTCATAAGTGTATATAAAGGTTAGTTGTTTGCGATATCATCCATTAAAGGGGTCCTATAATGCTAAATGCACCTTTGTACGTCTTTTACATGAATATGTGTCCCCGAAGTGTCAGAAAACACAACCCTCTCTATTTTCCTCCATACCCAAAATCTGTAAAAACGGGGCTTTAACGGATCTGATACATATTTGAAAATAGTCTGACGTCAGTGGCGAGGAGCTCCGCCTATATGGCCAACTCTCCGCCAATCAGGGGAATGAGAGAGGTTGCCTTGGCATGGTAACAGCATGGTAATACGACACTCGTAACTCGGCCCCCTCCTTTGCAGGGGGGCGTGGTCAGCTGCCGCGCATGCAAAGACAGGGTGGAGGAGAGGAAAATAGAGCAAAATGAGGCATGGCTAAAATGCATGATCTGTTTGGTATTTTGAAAAAGAAAACGTATAAATATACCTTATACGGCCCTACAATATATTATTCAAATATAGCATGATGGGTCTCCTTTAACACTGCCAAGATTACACACATTTTGCTTCAAAAGAGGGAATGCTTAAAGAAATTATTATATAAACAACAAAATCCAACGCACAACAACTACTGTTAAATGTAATAAGTTCTGTCAGTCAGTTTATATAATTGTGTTCAGATAATTATTTCTGGCAACACAAACATCGCCATAACGTGAAACCTATTCAGCTGGAAAAGGTGGTCCAATTAGACAGAGGGAGAGCTCTGGATGGTGTTTGAAATCCCAGATGAACCTCCAAGCACTCGGCTGCCCATACATGGACACATATTAAGAATGGAATACTCTATCAGCAATAGAGCATGCAGTTTCCTGTTTTAAAAAGGTGAACAAAGGCACGTCTGTAGAAATTAGTATGCATTGGGAACCAGTGATGTTTGAAATAAGGCCAGCTGGCTTTACATGACATGTTTCAGGGAACTGAGAATAGCTTTGGATTGTCAAAAGAACAAAGTGTAATACTTTCTTCATAAAGCAGGCTGTGAAATCAGGATTTATATAATAGAATTCAAGTGAAAAATAACTAATCAAACCATAACACATTTATTAGGAGAGATGTATCACATAATTTAAAGACCCAAAAGAACAGACAGCAAGGCATGCTTGAAACATTATCATTGTAACGTTCCCAAGATGAGTCGGAGACAGGCTTGTAGTTATTAGGCTTTAATAACCAGTATTTGAAGACAGATGATAACAGGTCAAGTACACTTCGTGGGTTCTACCGCACACTCCCTCACACACTAACTTCTACACATACCCATATATATATAGCACTGTCTACGTCACAACTCCCCGCCCTCCCCCGTCCGCTCCACCAACCACAGGCCCGCACTTCAGCCACCATCACGGTGCAGCTCTACGATTGGCAGAGAGACGGGGGATGCCTAAGTGACACCCTGAGTAGCCTATCAGGATCGCTACACTACCCCCCCACTACAAAGTTCCTCGCCCACGAGGAACAAATAAAACTCAGCACAAACACTACCCCCACCCTCTCCAGTACTCTGCAGGGACCAACCCACTGACTGTCCAGTTTTGGGCACCGGCCTTTCTTCCGTTGTGGGCTGTAGACTAGGGCTGTGCGATTATGGCAAAAATCATAATCACGATTATTTGGTCAATAATTGATATCACGATTATTTTGACGATTATTCATTGACCATTTATTGAACTTTAAAACAAATAATATTTTACCAATAAACAAGATCAATAAATGTGTTGGAGCGCACTTCCAAAACCATACTAAACATATATTAATATGATAAATAAAAATAAATTAGACCAAAATAAATGAAATCAAATATGTTGCAGTGCACTGTCACAACCTACTGAAAACTCCTTAACATATAGCCAACATTTTGGTAAAACATATTCAACATATTCCACTCAGTTAAACGTTGAAGGCTGGCCAACCGTCATGGTCCAGAAGTAACAGGAAATAAATGTTGAACTACAATTTAAGACCAAATAAAAATGTTTAGGCCACCATGGCAAATGCTGGTAGGGCTGCTCATGTCATCTCTTAAAGATTTTTTGCAAGAAATACCAGCCTGTTTGTTTACATGGTCTGGTTTCAGAGATGAGTGCAGGCAGGTGACGATATTGCCACCTGTACTGAAGACCCTCTCTGAAGAGGAACTTGTGGCAGTGCTGCCACATATGACACAGGAAAAAAAGAAAAGACTCTGAAGAACCCTTTCTTTGCCATTATATAAAAATAGTGTTGCTACAAAAGTATAAATTAGGCTTACTAATAAGACAACTCAGATCTGAAGCTACACAGTAATCTGCTGCAGCAACAGTGCAATAAAAAAGACAACATTAATAGAATCAAACCCATTTTTTGTTGCATTTTATTAGAGTATAAAAATAAATGCCTTTAAAATAGGATGCAAGCAACACTAGTTTCTGAACTGATAGACTATAATCAATTTAAACAGAACAGATCTTAATGTTTGCATTCTTATACCATTTTGTACAATAATTATCATGAATAAATTCAAACAAACTAAAACTTACAGCAGATTAATAACGGTATCTAAATTGAGTTTTTATTATATCAAAAACCTGTTGAAATGCTGCTGTTATTTTTACTGTCCCACAAAAGCGCGTTGCAGCCTCCAGGAAAGCTTCTTTCACAACTTCGCCGTCTTCGAAAGATTTCATGTGTTTCGCAAGAACGTGACTGACACGATAAGATGCTCTGGTAGCAGCCTTGCTCTTGTTGTTGAGCCTGGTGAAAATGGACTGCTGTGCATTTAGCTGTCCTTTCAGGCCCCTCCCCTTTTGGGAGCGTAGGGCAGAATTAGGAGGGAATTCCGTCTCGTAGCGTTTGTGCACTGTTTTGAAATGCCGCTCCTAAATTACCCTTCTTCGATAAAGCCACGCTCGCATTGCAGATGAGACAGATGGACTTTGAATTGGAATAGATACAAAAATAATGATCCTCCCACTCGGAGTGAAAATTATATATTTTGGGCTTTTTTGCTTCTGCCATAATTGCGGTCTTGTGTGTGTGCGGACTGTCACTCCTGTTGACCATCCATGCTGTTGACACGGACAACGTCAGCGAACTAGTGCACTGCTCACCAGCCACGCCCGGACACATGGGGTGAGGCCGGCCAATCACAAAGCTTTGATGCGTTCAAGTGCATTATTTTGGCACGGGAACATTATGTTACAGGACATTAACGATAAAACAGAATATTGTTGTTCTATTTTTAGACACATCTCGCGATCGACTGGGAATCTCCCCGCGACCCTTCTTTTTAACTAGTTGCTGCTCTTGTTCTGACATCTTCGCTTGCGCTGAACACTCACAACACATGTCACTCCCACGTGGCCGAGTGGGCTTTTAGGGAGGGGCGAAAGCGCACCCAGCAAAATAATCGTATTTTGTCAATTATGCTGTTTTCCTAATCGT